TGTCATTTGTTTCAGAAAAGGAGTGGAGAGTTAGACTTACTACAACTTTTTTAAGGAAAAAGGGAAGCTTTTGATCTCTGTTGTGTCAAAGAAGGATTTCGAGCTCTGTTCCAGTTTCATACTCTCACTCAGCTAAACGGTGAGAAAAAACTTAAACTCAGCTAGACAGCGGAAAAAATTAAAGACTATGAATTTTGAAAAAGGGAAAAAAATTCTTCGGTTCAAAATTTCTCGAGATAGGGTGTTTGACACAAGAAGAGGAGAGCCTGGCGTTAGCCGGGCGATCCGACTGGTAACTCAATAAAAACCATCTTTCTATCACTAACTCTTTATCGTGAATGTAATTGTCTTTAAACTAAATCCTGAGGTCTATTCAGGAGAGACTTGTCGAGTTGGATACGACGACATCGAGTGCGGTCTTTTCTGGGTAAAACTTGCTGTTGATGTACGTGCCTTCGCCCTAATTCTCTACACGCCCGTGTTCGGCCTTGCTTGTATGGTGGGTCCCAACACGATTCACCATCTATGAATTCATAAAATTTTTCATGAATACGTCATCATACGTTTATACTATTTAGATGGGAATTCCTCTCTTCATCCTTATCGCTTTTCCTACATTTCTTGCTGAACGGATATACAACCATGCTACATTGCAAACCGACTATCTCAGCACCCCTGAGAAAGTGCTGCTGGCATTCAAGGTAAGTCCAAGTACACCATTTCTACGAGCTGCAAGCTGATTGCTGGTAGTTACAATCGATTTAAGATGGTATCTGTCTTTCTGGCCGGTGTGCCAGTAGGTCTGTTTCTTGCTCTGAATTCGATTATCACTGCTGCACTGGTTGTTGTGATGTATATCTTATTTACGATCTTAAAGACAACCCCTTATGCAAAAGTAAGTAAACAAGTTGCTATTGATCGGAAATCTAATTATAAACAAGTAACCCGACGAGTTACACTTAGCACATGAACAAAGGGCATATTGTGTGATGAAAGTTAACCACAGTTCCAACTCATTTCCACTTGAAGGCACAGTGAACGATAACTATGAGTACCGAGTGTAACTTCAAAAAAAAA